TTTAGTCTTAAAATGAATATTACCTTGCACGATAGATAGGCAACACGTGAAAAGAAAAAAAACATGGGAAAAACATTGCTTTACAAACCTTAAAATGCAATAAAAAAATTTTATATCTTGCATATAAGAGCATTGTAATGTTTACTGATAATCTGCCAAATTTCGTTAACATTTGCTTATAAATTTAAAAGTTATAGCATGAAAACTATAATAAGCACAAAATGGTTACGAGGTCGGTTACAGGGATCGAGCCTGTCCTGAAAGAGTTAATGGCTTCGTTAGTGCTAATTAGACTCATAACAAGTGAACTAGTAAAGGTTTTTGAATTTCGAAAAATTCAAGCTATGGAAGAATGTAATATTAACAAGTCTGCTAAATTTCATGCTGATATTGGCTTTAATGGTGAAGTGGAAATGAAAGAAAAACAAACTAGACTTTTATTTTTAATCACTTACTACAGGTTAATTAGTAAAGATTTTAAGACAAAAATGTAGAAAATATGTTAAACTTTCGATTTAGGTTAGATTTGAAAAATGTAATTTGTCAAATATTGGGGCACTCTTTAAGGGTCAGTGCTACCTTAAGTGAATTTCATTGCTATCATTACAACAAATATAAGTTGCTAGAAATCTTCAGTAGATCTATGAAAATAAGTATCGATGAGATGAAAACTGATATTCATAGTGTTTATTAAATTGCAGCTTAATTCATTAAAACACCTGCCTGGCAAGTGTAGTCAAGGATTTAAATCCAGTCCAGTCTTTTAACCAAGTTTACAAGTGTAACACTTTTACTGTACAAACCAAACAGGTTAATAATTTAATTTTAACCAATTTCACAAGTTTGATTTCTTCACTGTACAAACGTGACTAGATTATTTAAATTCAAAACAAAAAAAAGGATCAAAACTTATACCACAAAAAATGGTTAATAATAAATAGATGTTTTAATGCTCACAATATTTTGAGCTGAGATGCCCTTCCTCTAGTGATTTAGATTTTAAAGTATTCTTTAGCTGATTTTTCAGTTGATTATTTAAGTTAACCAATTTCACATATGTAACATCTACACTCTCTAAAATCCTGACTAGTTAATTATTTAATATGTTAAGATAATCAATTTTACCAATGTTATATCTTCACTCTACAAACCTGACTAGTAAGTATGACCAGATGAGCAAGCTGAGCCATCAAAGAATCTGCCAAGTCGAGTGACTGAAAACTACAATGAGTGAGTGAAGTTGTCAGCACAGGAAACAGCAAACCAAGAATTGTTCCTTTAACAATCCTCTCCAAGTCCTGCAGATGCCACTCTAATGTGGTACCCCCTTTATATATCAGGATGTTACACCCTTCTAGCAAAGCTTCCAGAACCTAGATTACCCAGGTAACAGAAATAAAATTAAGAACTTGAATCATTAAATTGTGATGTTGTGTAGAAAAACAAAATGATTACCTGGTGATTGTTAATAGAGAGTTATGATAGTTCTAACTCTGAAGCTAAAAAGAAAAAGTTTTACATTATTAATCATTTTGTTTTATATGATACAAATAGTAAGTGAAATTAAAAACAAGTGAAAATTTCCTTTAAATTTTGCCTAACAAAACAAATGCAGTGTTCTATTTCGAACAAAAATGGAAATTTTTTTTCAAGTTCAACAGAATTGGTTTTACACTAAGTTGAGAAATCATCCTTAATTTAGCAAAAGACTAATTATTTAATTTAAACAAATATGCTGTATAAGCAATACTTAATGTCATATGATGTTGTATGTGTTTGTTTATAAAACTGTCTGTTTACATAAATATAATTAGGTTGAATATACTTGGCAAAGAAACCAGTATTTTCAAAGATAATTAAAAACTTAAGTTTCTCTAAGGGCAACAGGCAAGAAATCCTACAAATATAGGATTTATTTTTAGTTATTAAAGATGAGCAAAGGTTTTTCCAGAAATTATAATTAAGTTGTGTGTATCCAACAATAAAAATTATAAAAAACATTTTTATAAACAAGTTTGTTTAACTAATCAGTGCTAATAAACTTCTTTATGGTAGAAAAAAAAGACCAGCATGAAGAGTAATTCTGATGATCAGATTAGGAAATAAACACTATTATCACAACTATACTTCAAACATACAACAGTCCCCAAACCAAAACCCATAACTACAACTTAACCATGGTACCCTAACCGACAACTAAGGTGTATTAAAAATTTTCTTAACAAGTAATGTGTGACAAAAAAAAATTACTATAAACAAGAAATCTCCTCAAAACTTACCTCAATAGCTCCTGAAAACAAGTGACTAGCAAATCTCTTTATAAGTGACTGGATATCCTGTATAATAGAAATGAATGTTAACATTCTCTTAATCTGAAAATGTATTTCCAATTGGCACTTACCCCTCTCACCCAAAGCTATCTCAATCCTGGTCTGCTCTCTAAGCATTGCTAAAAAAAAAGAAAAAAGATTTCACTACAGTGCATAAGTATTTATATCCAATCAGTTTTGCGTCAATTCAGAACATGTGCTGATCATACGATTACTCTCCATCAATAGGACTGTGCCATCTATACCAGCACAGCTAGCTCCCTCTATTATTCTCGAACAATCTTCACTAACAAGAATTAAACACTGGCATCTCAGTGGGAAGGAACGAAGGGAAGTGGTGAAAGGAGGCAAGTACATATCAGAAATACATTTTCAGAGTAAGAAAATGTTAACTTCCAAAACAGTACCACCTCTTCTCACCCAAAGTTAGAATCCCAGGGGCTGGTGAAGGTGCATCAATCTCAAATCAAGAAGAAAGTAACTGCACTGAAAGAATGGGTATGATAGAATATGAAAAGAAAGCACACCAGTGAGGTACTGCACTACTTCTGGAACAGGTATGCTCTTCACCCAGTAATCAATCAGTAACACAACTGGGGTGGAACTGAATTGACAGGCACAACTGAAGTCAATAAAAAGACACACAGCACTGAATCAGTGTAGGAAAGTGCCGGATAACTATGACATGAATCAAGATGATGTTGACAAACATAGAAAGGCTTGTGTGCATGCTACCACTTTTCCTTATATGTACATGCCAAGGCAAAGTGCCTTATGTTACATCGGATTATTCCAAGTGCAGTCCATCTAGGCAAAACTTCCAGTGGAAATGACTTGTATAAGATATAGCGATCAATAAGTGCAGTCTGCCCAGGCAAAAATGTAGGTTTATGAGAGATACAAGTTACTGATATGAGTACGATCATGAGGGTTATCATAACTAGCCCTCTGTCCACATCCATGTCATAACAAACCATCGTAAGAAATAAGACATACCAACGAACATTGCAATAGTGAGTCATAGTATGGTGGCAGTAAATGAGCTAGAAAGAAAAATGAAGGGCTTAAGGACCGTGATATGTATTTGAATAGGCCAAGTGTAATCCACATGGGCAAAAAACATCCAGGGGAAGCACTTTGGGTTACGTCAGATTATGACAAGTGCTGTCTATCTGGACAAAAACACCCGGGGATTAAAGAGCTTTGGATATTGAATATTATTGTATAATTCATCGTTCAGTACTGTAATAATTATAATAACTATAGCCCTCTTCTGGCCGAGTGAGTACACATGGGCTTGAAAGTTTTATTTTGTTTTCCAAATCCATGCAGGAGGAAATCTCCATGGTACACCACTCCAGCAACTAGGAACTAGAAGTGGTAAGGACTCTTGTTCTCCACTATAAGAGAAGGGGGGGTATATGTGTTGAGGAGTTTGGAGGAATAACATACTGGGGACAGTGCAATGGGTGATTACAATTCCATATTTTGAAATGTAAATAGACCACAATTGTAGGAATCACGGGTCAGTAGTGATGAGCAGAAATCCCCATATGCTTTACTCGTGAGGTCCATGAGTGACAGTTTTTTATAAATGAAACTAGTAACTTTTAATAACAAAAATATATAGATACACAACCACCAGACAAGCTGCCAGTGGTCTTACAAAAACACCCCATTTCAACAGTGAGCATTATAGAACTATTCATGTCTAGTGCAAATATAATATAAAGCATACCTGACCAGGCAACACCCACCACCAGGTAGGATCCTTAAATACGACATGTACCAACAAAAAGTACAGAGGAAAAGTAATACCCCAGCCTAAGGCAAACAAACATGTGTAGAATCATCACAGGAGGAAGATGATACCTGCCTGAGAAAGACACAGCCAGTTCGTGTAGATAATGTACAATGAATCTATTGGGAGTTGTCCACATCCCAGCCTGAATGATCTCCTCCAAAGGCCAGCAAAGGCAATCAGCTAAAGACATAGTTAGATGACGAATTAGGTGCAAAGAAATATTGTGCAGATGGCAACCTTCCATGGACAAGTCAGAATATGCCAGTCATATGAGTTGATGAACACAACTAGAGAGTACAATAGGGGACAGATTACGGAACACAGAGGGAATTCTTGGAACAAATAGATGGGAAAAATTACATGAAAAGAGGCACTTAACACATAACATCTAAAGGAGGGAACTGGACAAAAATGTCTACCCGAAATCAAGCAGGAGTACAGGCGGGAAATATGAGAGAAGGCCAAACCACCTGCCCGAGCAGCAGATGTCTAGGGAAAGAAGGCCCGATCAGGATAGAGTATGACATAAGAGGAATGGTACAGGGAAACATCAATGGCATAAATATCAGAACAACAATGACCACAAGCAAGGAGGAGGAGGAAGAGGACTTAAGGGAAAGATGGTACAAGGAATGTGGAGTACAGATAAGACAAAAGGAACAGAAGAGGAGAGAAAAACAAGGGAGTAGAAAGTGTTTCAGAAACAGGAGAATTGGAAAGTGTTCTACAGGGTAGCCCTATAACTAGAAACAGTTCACACAAGCAAACCCTGATCAAACAACCAGGAGAAGAACTGGGAAAGATGAGGTACCAAAGGACAGGGCGGACAGAAGCCACAGTGAACAGACCAAGGTCTAAAGATATATCACCTCTAGTACACATACAAGGAGGAAGTTCAAATGGAATGAGAAAAGAAAGAAGCTATATGAGGGGTGAGTCCCTGAGCTGAAGCGAGGGACCAGACAAAAGGCACATGTGAAAATGGAGTTTGATGATGTTGGAATGAATTGTGTCTGATCACAGTTGTCAGAGGAGAGACTCGGACTAATGTAAGGGCAGGGGATGTCATTTTAGTAAGGGCAAGAGCAGAGGGAAACATGTATGAGCAGGCCAATATGGAGCAAAGAGCAAGATAAGGGAAAAGACTCTGGAGAGGAGTCTGACTAGAGGGTAGGCATATTGGTGAAGACCCCTCCAATACTGACTGCACGCGTCTATTCCTAGAGCTGAAGGGCATGGAACCATATACGAAAAGGAAGGAATTTATTTTGGCATTCCAGTGAGTGACAAACACATCTATATGTGGTGTTCCCAGTTGAAAACACACCCACCAAGACTGAGATAAGCAATTGGCCACCAAGTTCATAATGCCAGGAACGAGACATGCCAAGATCACCATGTAGTGGTCTTAACCATAGTAATGAAGATCTAGAGTTGAAACCACAAAGATCTGGATGTGGTTCCCCTTTGCTTGGTGATATAGCTGATGACAGTGGAATAGTCAGAATGAATCATAACCATCCGTCCTCTCAGGAGCAGGAGGAAATGAAACAGAGCCCAACGAACTGCCAAAAGTTCCAGGATGTTGAAAACAGAGAGTAGCCTCTTCGAAGGACCATCAACAGAAATCTTTTGGGAATTGAGAAAAGCCCCCCAACCCACCAAGAAAGCATTGGTAAACAGATGAAACTCTGGACAAGGTGGAGGAATGGGAACCCTCACCTTGATCAGTTCCCTGTTGAGCAAAATCAGCCCTTATCCTATAGGAAGGGTAATGGGATGGTCTAAGAGATTGTGAGAGAAGTTTTACTGGTCAAGAAATAATCACTAAAGGGAACGCGTGTGAGCTCAACCCAAGAGAATGAGAGCTTCCAAAGAATCTCACATCCCAAAAAAGAGAGAAATCCTCACACAATGAGAAAAATACAATGTAAGGTCATTGAGACTATCTGTTCCATATCCCTGAGACGACGCAAAGAAGGCTGGCCCAATTGGATCACAAAAAAACCCTACCTGATTGGCTTCCCAAAGAAGTAAGCAGGCATGATTGACCAACTGGGCATGGGAAGTGGCAAGCAGGAGCCAGTGGTCCATGAAAAGGAAAGTGGTTCATCCACGAGGGTGGTGTCTTCCAGTTCTGGGTGCTGCCATTTGGTCCTTTTTTGGCTCTGTGTGTTTTGTTAAGTGGTACACTCTTTTAACTGACATTTTCACTCCTTGGGTCTTTAGAAAGAAAACGACATGACACTGGAGCAGTTGGAATATGAAGATAGACATCTGTCATGATGACTTTGTCATCCAGAGTCCTGGAGATAAAGAAAAAACAAAGTGAAAGGTAGGACTCAAAGGTGAAGTGAGGTGGCTCCAGATAATAGTTCAACCTGGACAGGTCTATGAGAGGTCTCCACTCTACAATCTTTCAAGGGTCAACAATTAGATGGGAGTAAAACCCTGGTTGAGTGGGTACTACCCATTCAACTTTCCCTTTGTGTAGTAGGTCTTGAACAGACTAGGAAAGATGACTGGAATAGATATGATCCCAAGGACGATGGAAGGAGAATCGGGAAGTGGATGGGGGGGGGGGGGCAGAACTGAAGGCAGAAACCTGTAGAACCCAAGGAACTATTGTGAAATGTAGTCAAAAGGAAAAGACAAAAAACTAATCATACTTCAAGAAAGTACTCACTACTAATAAACTAAAAACCTAGAAATTTATAGTCTACAAAGTAAATAAAAATAATGAACTTGCAAAACTATGAAAGTCGACCTAAAACAATAAGTAATACCTAAAATACAAAACCACTAAAGGAACATAGAAGATAAAAAACACGTAAATATCAAACTTATAAGTCCACTCAAAGAACCCATGAGACAAAAGACATGAAAGTAAAACCTACCCTAAAGAACATGAGAATGAAAAGGCACCTAGTTAACAATAATAAAATTTGACTCAAATCTAATCCCCAATTAGATGTGACTAGTAGTAAAGAAAAAGGAACTTACAAACTAACTAGCATAAACAGTGAAAGGAAGTATAAATAATGAACCAAGACAACCACAAAACTGACTGGGGTTACAATTACCTAAACAGTAACTATCATGCAAAACCCATAACTATACCAAAAATTAAATAAAAACAAAGTAATAATCAAACTGTAAATGCAAATTTAAACTAAAGTAACTTTAATGGTAAAAGAATTATAAAAATTTAACATACCAAATACTGAGACCTAAATTATTGTGTGAGGAAATAAGGTCAATCTACACAAGCTCACATAAACTTGCTAAACATGAGTATGCTGAAACTGGGTATGCTGAAAAACTTACCACAAATCTCCTGGAAAAAAGAACAATACTTAACCGAGAAGATTAAATGGAGGTGCAGTAACAGGTGGAAGGTGCCATAAAAAGAAATTTCCACTCAGAAAAAATCGTGATGTGAAAGGAAGAAATTGTCGGTCAAATGTAAGACACAAACTCCCCACAAACTAAAGCCTGTACTTCCCCAGCAGACATCGTCGACCCTGAGACCTGGGGACTCGTGTCAGAACCATCGTCGACTGTTACAGGAACTTAATCATCTGCCATATTAAATCTCGAATTCATATGAATAAATTCTAATTTGTAAAATAGAAATAATTCTAAAACAAATGAGTAGAAACATTGGCTATCAAACACAAGAAGTCGAAACTTGAAATTGAAACTGATATAAATTTGTGATCAAGCACAATCAAAATTATGTAGTCATGTTAAGATTTAATTAAAACTCACCTCTTCACAGAATACCAATCGAGAAAGTGAAGACTGTTCTATAATAGTAGAGGGAGATAGCTGTGCCAGTATAGATGGCACAGTATGATTAGTGGAGAGTAGTCACGTGATCAGCACATGTTCTGAAATGGTGCAAAACTGATAAGGTATAAAGACTAGTGCACTGTAGCGAAAATTGTTTTAGCAATGCTTAGAGGGCAGACTAGGAACAAGATAGCTTTGGGTGTGAGGGGTTCTATCATTTTGGAAAAAAACGTTTACAATTACAGTACATTTTTAAAGCCTTGACAGCTTTACTGTATGACTAAAGTAAAATGTTGGGTTAATACTAGGAATTTACTTTTGAAACCCTAAACCTATAAGAAACAATATTATCATTAGTTGAAACCTGCCCTTGAAACCAAGGGCATGTGGACACAATGACTCTTGAATCATTTTGCCCTTTACAGAAACTAATAACTGAGGTGGCTTGCCTTGCTTGATGCAGGTTATTGTTTGAACATACTTAAATTAACAAACAAAGTGATTAAAAGGTTGTGACAATAGGACACGAACCCTCAAATTCAAAGTCCAGTACACAAACCAGTAGACCACATCCAGCCAACAAGAAACATAAATACAAATTTAAAATTTTTTACCATGCAGAAACTTTTATGAAAATTTTACCTTTAGCGATAGGCAGCTTTTCATATTTTTTTTGTCACTGTCAGATTCCATCAACACAGCTAATCTCAAAAGATGTAACTGATAGGCACTTAAGTATCGAACACACTCTGATGTTTCCTGAAAGAATTCATTCATGGGAATTACCCAACCCTTACAATCTTTTATATTACAAGTAAGTTTTATAAAAGTATTCATTATTGCACTTAAGTACTGAAGAAATTATATTACTCTATAAAATTTCACAAACTCAACAAAAAATTACATTCTTCTCTTCATTAACCACATGGTATGAGGTAAGAAATTATAAACAACTCACAGGAGCAGTGGAGATAAAGATTTCAAAGTCTGTATAGTCACATGTTGTGCATTTCCGAAGCAATACACAAGAATCTTTCACAGCTTTCTTCATCAAGACGTGTATGATATCTTGAGGGAATCTGGAAATTAACATTATTACTCATACATACATACACACAATAATTTCATTATTTTCATTATAAAACATGCTTCACTGAATTGTTATTAGTATTATAAAATACAAAACCCCTATAAACAAGTTTAAACATAATAGTAGGTGACAGAAATACAAACTGTACTATGACAGCTACCTTAGCATTAATTGGATAGAATATAAACAACAATCTAATACAACAAACAATGTGCAGTTAGAATTTTAGTAATCCACATTTTGGACTGAAGACCATGTTTAGTCATTTAAAAATAAAATGTTATACATTATCAGTAGTCTTAACGATGTATTTTAAAATAGTAATCACAAACAACAACAACTTATAATACAATTGCAACGCAATACAATAAAATATATCTTAGTTTGCTACATGACCTATAGAACAAAAACTAAAGACTTTAGCAGGACTGAAGAAATTATTTCATCTAGTGATAACTTTTAGCTCATTACCAGACAATTCTATATAGACAACAAATGATGTTTAAATAACAACTAAAAAAACAGTTATGTACCATTGCTCTAGTATCATAAGTACTTAGGTAATCTGATCAGAAAAAAAAAATTAACCTTAATTGTTCAGCAACGTTCTCATTTAATGATACATTCTGAAGCTTTTCTGCAAAGTCTGTCAAAATCAGTCCACATAAGTAGTTTAATGGGCTTGATTCCTCACCTAAACAAAAATACACTAGTTAAAGAACAATGTAGAATTTCCAACCTGCATCAAATCCAACAATAACAGTTTCAAGCAATCACTTGTAAAGGCCTCATTTGAAAGCATTCTCATGATTTATTCTAAGATATCTCACTTCCTTTAATAAGTGTTATTAAAGTAGATATATATGACATACCTTAAAAAAAGCCTATCATTTTAGTTACATTTTGGCAGAAAAAGTTTCAAATGATTTTTTGACTATTTGAGCATCATCACATTAAAGTAAAGAATGTGTAGATGAAGTATAAATTTTAGACAAAATATATCTTGACTATAAATCAGGCTATCAATATTAATACAGAAAAAATAATCAGAAGTTTTAAGTTATGCACTGAAAAAAAAAACACATTGTGAAAAATTAAGGGGTGTAGAATAAAGTGCGGTATTTTTCATTTCAGGTTCTTATGATTGGTTAATCATGGTACAGTAAAGCCTGTTTTAGCTGTAATATACAAAGGTCATATATTAAGTTATAATAATACAAGAGAGTCACTTTTATATATGGTGCTTTGAATTGTTTTTTACTCACCAAAGTAAAAACCTATGTTTATACAGGATTTGAAGAATGTAGCTTTGATACTAGTAATTTGTTATTTTTAATTATTCAAATTATTCATAAATACAGGTTTTCACTGTGGTGAGTAAAAAGCAATTCAAAATACCATATATATATATATATATATATATATATAACACACACACACACACACCTACCTAACCTAGTAGAACGTACGACGTAGTTCGTTTTAGTTTTAC